TGCTGATTTTCTTTTAGAATTCCTTGGTGTGCTCCATTAGCCATTGTAATTTTAATGCTATGGTCCTACAGTTCCTGTTGTCTTTTGTGTCTAATTATGATGGTTTTAGGGGAGTAGGATCTGTTCTAATGGGAAGGGAGGCCATTCCTTTGAGGAGAAGCCTCCACACCCACGAAGCAAGTGTGCACACACTTCAGGAGTACCTGTGTTTTGCCAAAATCCAATTGTTAGTTCCACTTAGAGTAGACCTATTGATCTAAGGCAACTTTGTAAATCACTACTTTGTCCCGTTGAATGTTGTTGAATGTTATAGAGACCCTAAGGCAACCCTACCATGGGGTTTTCTTGGCAAGATTTGTGCTGAGGAGATTTGCTCATTTTTGTTCACTTTTGTATTCTTTTAAATTGTAAGCCACTTTGAGTCTCAACTTTGGGGGGAAAGTGGGATATAAAGAAATATAATAATATAACAATAATAATTTGCCATTGCCTTCCTCTGAGGTGGAGAGATTATGACTTGCCCAAGATCGGTTTAATGGCTGAGTGGGAACTGGAACTTTGGTCTCCAGAGTCCAAACCATGCTGGCTCTTGTTGATTAGATAGGTCTAATATAGCTGACACTAGCAACTGGGTTCAGAACTATATCTGCTGGTGTATCGTATATACTCGACTATAAGTCGATCTCATGTATAAGTCGAGGGTAGGGTTTGGGGCCAAAATTATGGATTTTGATATGACTCATGGATAAGTCGAGGATAAAACTTAGGGGCTTACAACAAAGGATGAAGCAAAGGAAAATAATGCTAAAGAATTTACAATATTCTAGCAGCCATTACTGTTTGTGCTCCCACTAAAGGCTGAATGGATGAGAGAGGTCAGTACTTCCACAACTGATTACATTCTTGCCTTTCACAAGTGGATGATTCCTTTTTAAATAAGAGTTAAAAATACAGTAGTTACATTGACTCATGGATAAGTTGACCCAGGTTTTTGGGGTCAATTTTTTGACTAAAATTTCTAGACTTATACATGAGTATATACAGTAAATACAGTGAGTCTTCTTAATGCCTTCAAAAGAAACAAATGCATATAGCCTGAAATTTGGTGGACAGTAGCCTACTTCCTCAGGTGCACAGGTGTTATCCAGAATGTCAGGTATGTTTATAGGTCCAACTGGTTATAAACAGTCCCCACCCCATGTATACAATTCAGTTTCACCATATCTGTACACCACACCCTTTTGCTCATTAAAGAGAAAGGAGCCTCGTGCCTAACAAAGCAAGTTTTTTTCTGTAATTCAGTCCCCAAAACAAGCAAGGAGACAAATCCTGATGAGAGGAAGACTACTGAAATAAACAAGTAATTTGTATAGTATTGAAGTCAAGCTCTGACATGTGCAAGTGTTATATTATATGAGTATCACATGGTTATGTACAGTCTGCGTCAGATCACTGATAAGATCTACAAACCTAGCTTCCTAAAAGCAGAATGTTTCTCTTCCATATATGGAAACAAAGATGCTTGCCCAACTAGAATAGGCCTATTGAATCAATCGCTGAAAGGCAAATCCATACATAAACCCCATTGATTTGGAACAATGGACCGGCCCCCGCTGCCGCCTCCTGTCGCCGCCACGCATGCGTTTTCCAAAATGGCGACCACAACTCATTTGTGCATGCGCAGTACTGCTGCGCATGCGTGAACAAGCCATAGCCGCCATTTTGGAAAACAAAATGGCTGCGATGCGCTTTAGTGACATGTGTGGCGGCGGCAGCAGCCCGTGGAAGGCCAGGGGATCCCCGGCCCGGCCCCAAGTAAGGGGAACTTGCTGACCCCTGATTTTGAGGGTCCACTGTAGTTGGGAATAGTAAGTGAGTATAGTTCCTTGTATTTAGATACCTCTGCTAAAAGATTAAATAAAGCCTTTTCAATAACGGCATTAGTATTATGAAGGTCATAACCCAATAACAAACTCATTTGATGTTTTCCAGCAAACATTGAACATTCTCTTCACTAAGCTTCCTGTACTACAAACAGGCTGTTGGTTTTAATATTGAATAACAGGATGTTTAGATCTGGATGGTATTTGGGACTCCAACTAGCCCAATCCCCTTTTAATGTAGACTGCAACCACAGCATCCCTCTCAGATGCACCTCCAATCTCTGCTTAAATGACCTCCAGCAAGAGACAGTGGTGGTGGAGGAGTTCAAATACCATTTTAATGTTCCTGCACGCATATGAGGTTTTTCAGATGAAAATGGCAAATAGAATGAAGCTGCTGTTTTCAGTAGAATATTGGCACCTCCCAGATTTCCTTTTGCATTGTAGGAAGGGAAGCAAGTACCTGAGAATTTTTTTTGGGGGGGGGGGGGATCAACTTTATTTTTATAGTTGTAAAGCATCCATGGGGAAGGGTAAACTGCAGATTATAGTAAGACTTTTCAGTTACTTTAAATATATTCTAGATATTACAGTACTTTGAAGAGAGCCAGAGTGGTGAAGTGGTTTGAGCGTTGGACTACAATTCTGCAGATAGGGTTCGATTCCCTGCTCAGCCATGGAAATCCACTGGGTGACCTTGGGCAAGTCACACACTCTCAGCCCCAGAAAAACCCATGATAGGTTTGCATTGGGGTTGCTATAAGTCAGAAGCAACTTGAAGGCACACAACAACAAAATTACTTTTATACTTAAATAGGACCTTTAAAAGCAGCCCCTTAGAATCCTCAATTCCCTATAGGTTTGCAAACAATGTTCCCACTTTCAAACTTCTAAAACAAAACAAACTATAAATTAATAGTGCATAATTTGTGTCATAAATAAAGCAGTTTGACAGAACCAATACAGAGATCCAGCGTGGTGTAGTGCTTTGAGTGCTGGAACTCCTCTGGACTTTGGAGACCAGGATTTGATTCCCAGCCTGGCCATAAAACTCACTGGGTGATCTTGGGCAAATCACACACTCTCAGCCTCAGGGGAAGGCAATGGCAAACCTCCTCTGAACAAATCTTGCCAAGAAAATCCCATGATAAGGTTGCCTTAGTGTCGCCATATGTTAGAAACAACTTGAAGGCACGTAGTAACAACAACAACAAAGCATCAATATACTATCTATGTTCACAAATGAGATAAATATGTACTTCACCTTGTGAAGGACTAGCCTGCTGAGGGTTCATGATAACTAAAAGAAGCAGATCTATGAACACAAAAGTGTGGGGGGGGAGCCTAATCCCATGCTTTGTCAGTAGCCTTATTACAGAAATCTCAGTTGTACATTTTTCCATAGAATAAGGGCCTTTGCAGACTGCCAGAAATAGTGCACATTAAATTGAGGCACTGCCCTGGCTCAGTGCTAGGGAATCATGGGAACTGTAATTTATTGTAGCACCAGAGCTCTCTGACAGAGAAGGCTCAATGTCTCAGAAAAAAATACAATTCCCATGACTCCCTAGCACTGAGCCAGGGCAGTGCCTCAATTTAATGTGCACTATTTCTGGCAGTCTGCAAAGGCCCTAAGTCACACAGTTCACCAATTTCTTTTGTTCTAGCAAGATATTCTCCCCTTATCCAATCCAGTGGTGGCTGGTGGCTCCCATGTCAGTGGGGCAGTGAATCCACTCTGGATTTTAATCCAGGCTTCTAAGGTGTCGGACCTCTTCCTAAATAAGTTTAGCACCTTGAGCACCTCCATTAAAGCTAGCCAAAATCTAGACTTGATTCACCAGCTGACAGCACTGGGTTCCACGCCTCTACAGAACTTCCTCCTTGAATATGTATACAGTACCACTTCTTTTTCTTCAAATCTTTTCTTAAATCTCCTATTTCCTGTGTCATGACAGGCCCTACCATTAGAGACAGTCACCCCGCCAGCAGAATTGGGAGACAAGGAGCTGCAGTGAGGACTGTGTGCTATGCAGTCTGATCACAACTGCCGTGGAAGATGCCGCCATTCAAGCTTATGGGGCTTGAATATTGGTGAGTTTCCATTTTTGCGGGGGAAGGGTCTCGAACAGATCATTGCATGTTATGATCTTTTCTAATTCTTTCATAGCCACCCTCTTCATTCTTAATCTTCTTCTGATTTCATGGCTGCAGTCCCTGTTCCTATCATTTTTTGTTCCCAGTATGAGAGTTCTTATTTTCATTTCCTCCTTGTCTAGGTGGTGTCTCCCAAATCTATGATTCTGTCCAGCTGTCTTCTGTACATAGACATGGGAACTGCAAGAGGACCCACTTGCCCTTCACTTCAGGCAGCAAAATGTCTTGAGGGTGACCTTAAGCATCAGCTGCTTAACTGTCATTCCCAATTGTAGTGATTACATTTTTGCATTTTCAGCATCCATTGCTAAGTTACTTGTATTTCAACAAGTAGAGATTTCCCCACTTTGCATTTTAGACTGCAAAGCTCCTTGGGGGCAGGATGTGGTCTCTTTTTATCTAAGATAGATAGTAAGGTGCCATGTAAATTGATAGTGCTGTGTATATAAAAAACCCTTAACATCTTAATTCACAAAATGTTCTGCTGAAGGAAAACCAAGTACTAAAAAACAATAAACTCTTATTATGGAGTACTGTTAGATTCAAGTGTGGCATATACAGGTTGGCAGGAGTCACAAAATTGCCTTACTTGCATTCTACTTTATTACAGTCAAGCAAAGAAATATGGCTTATTATACTTATGGCTTAGTAAACCTTGTAAAGAAGTTTACAACACAGCTTGAGGCATAGGCTGTCCAGTGCTAACAAGTGCTAAATAAACCATGTTCCCTGTAGTCAGAAAACAACCATCCACTGCACTGTGTTTCCTTCAGTGGTTAGTTCTGCCATCATTTTCAGGAGCAGTATTTTAGTGCGGCCTCTACCAGTGATGTAAACTCAAGTTAATTAACTTTGTTCATCTTTATGACAGTCATAGACCAGCATAGCAACCTCAAGCACAGCAACTTTGACTCAAGTTGTTTAAATGGCTCGACTTGGCAATAAATAATCCAATGACTTGACTCATGATTTGTATATTTTTAGTGACTGACTTGCTGGTGTCATTCACTTTGGGTAGCAGGCAAGACATGCCCCCCAGAGTGCAGAACACATTTCTCATACGGGAACAGCAAATGTGTTAGGCAATGGGCTTGAGGAGGAAAGATCTTTGCAAAGTATTAAAGAAGCTTTAGAAGCCTCCTCCAATATGCAGCGGGGACAGGCTGCTGAGCAGACCTCAACGAGCACCTCACGTCCATCACCTAATGCATTTGCTGTGCCCCTCTGAGAAACATGCCCAACCACCTTTTTTTCTGTTAAAGTTGGCTCCTAGATTTGAGACTCGACTTGAAAAAACCCTGCAAGGACTTGAGACTCAACCTGAAGGCAGAGAATCATCAAATCATAGAGTTGGAAGAGACCACAAGGGCCATCCAGTCCAACCCCCTGCCATGCAGGAATGCACAATCAAAGCAATCCCAACAGATAGCCCTCCAGCCTCCAAACAAAACCTCCAAACAGAGACTCCACCACTCTCCCAGGCAGCATGTTCCACTAGCTCTTACTGTCAGGAAGTTCTTCCTAATCTCTTTTCCTGTAGTTTGAATCCATTGCTCCATGTTGCAGTCTCTGGAAGCAGAAAACAAGCTTGCTCCATCTTTAATATGGCATTCCTTCAAATATTTAAACATGGCTATCATGTCATTCCTTAACCTTCTCTTCTCCAGGCTAAACATACCCAGCTCCGTAAGCTGCTGCTCATAGGGCATGGTTTCCATACTTGACTTGAGACTTGGCATAAAAGACTTAAATGCATCCCTACCATTAGATCTTGGATGGACAGAGCCCATGGTGTCACATACAGTACCAAGGCCGTTTTTGGTTCTGTGTCCATTTTGGGGGTCTGAATATAGTGCCAATGAAGCCAATGAAGGGACATGATTGGTCTTTGGAGAAAGGGTACTTTAAGTCAGGGAGGATGCTTTTCCCCCAAAACTGGAAATAACCCAAAGTCTAGGGGGCAAAATGGTGCCTGTGTATGTGATTGAATTAAAATGTCATAGGAGGATGGCTCTCCAAGGTCTAGTAGGGCTGCTGCAGCTCCCAATTCCTAGCTGTTATCAACCTCTGCATTTGCCAGAATAAAGCAAAGTAAATAATGGCAGCATTTTTTAATTTACTAATATTATTGCATTTTCAGTGCCAGGAATGAGGAGAGATGCTTGTTAGATCTTTTGCCTGAGATGCTTTGAGTAACCTGGACCTTGCATTGAGTGAGTCGGAGGTCTGATTCCCCTACCTCAGGTTACTAAATGTCTTGGGCCTGTCTTGCATTTCAACATTACTTGTGGAAAATCCAGCTGGACATCAATATGGTGACATTGAGATCTTGTACCCCACTCAAGATGTATTGTTTCCAGTTTTAAACAGAATGGATGTGAGAGAAATTATCCCTCGACATGAAATCTGGAGCTCAGACTAATACAATTAGTTTTAATGGGATTTCCACACACCATCAATATATCTTAGTGCGCAAAGGCTACATGATAACTGGGACACATGTCATCTGGAGATTTGGGCTGAGCCATATGTTCATCTCAATTTCACTTTATCAAATACAGGTGAGGTTGTGGAGATGCCAGGCTGGAGCAGAAAAACAGTAAAAGACTGGTTGAGGGCCAATAAACTGAAGGTGCATCAAGAAAAAGTAGATTTATTGTGGTTCATCGGCCTTGGAGATAATGTTCAACTTATTCTGCACATGACTGCACTCCTAAAAGGTCAGGTTAGCATCTTAAATGTGCTGTTAGATCTGGTTCTCTCTTTGGAAGCCCAAGCAGTGTGGCTCCATTACCATTTTTCATCAGCTCTGTGATTTATCTTGCTCTTCATAGAAAGAAATGGCTTGGCTGCAGTTACCCACATTCTGGACACATTCAAATTAAATTTTATTGCACTGTATGTGAAACTTGCTTTGATGACTACCTGGAAACTTGAGTTAGTATAAAATAAGGTGGCAAGATTACCAATTAGATAAAATTATTCTTATGACTATCATCAAATAATAGTGCCAGGTGTGTCTGGAAATGAACTATTAAAGGTGTTTGTTAGTTATCTTTAAACCCCTAAATAGTTCAGTATCCAGGTAACTGAACCTCTCAAGTATTACACTGTATTATGTAGCAGCTTTCTCAGAGGCCTTTCTCTGAGTTCCTGTGTCTAGCAGTGAATGCAGCAAATGGTGTCCAGGAATCATTTCAAAGCTAGGAAAAGTTACTTCTTTTGGATATCTCCCAGAATCTTTTAGACGGCATGTCTATAGTGGCTAGGGGATTCTGGAAGTTGTAGCTAAAAAAACCTTTCCCTCTGTAGCAGCATTCCCCTAGTTGCTGGATTCTCTCTCCAGAGAAGCTTATCTGGTGCCAATACAGCTGTCTTTTTCAGCCGCTCAGAAGTTTTTTCAAGAACGTCCATGCCTTTCAGTCCTTTATGACTTTTTAAATTCTGGAGATAAATGTGTTTGTACTTGATTCTGCAGCTTTAAATGTCAGTTTCATTTTAGAACTGCCTTAAAATTATA